TTTCGGGGCTCCCAAAAGTCAAAAGAATGATATTCGGTATAGTGATTTTTTTTTTGATAATTGGAACAAATTCTAGACACGATGGTAGAAAAAATTATCACTTTAATGAACAATTTTCATAAAAGCGAAGTCAAACGGATACCAAAATTTTAACATTTTTCAGATAAAAAATTATATTAATCAAACGCAATTAATTACAATTCTCGATAAAATAAAATATAGATAATTCAATTCCCCGTGAGTGGGAGAAAAAAACGAGGGTACATAAAAAAAAAAAAAAAAAGGGAGGAAGATGAATTGGAGCAAACTCCGATGCCCCTAATTTTTCAACAGCAAATGAAGAATTCGAACAATTCCGTTTTGTAATTTGCAGATTTTGTTGCAAATTGATAACGCAACCCTAAAATCTCTATACAAACACACACAAAAATTCAACATAGGAACAAAAATCACAGAGCTTCAATGGATTACCCTGCTAATTACCAACAACAGGCGTACGATCCCTCATCTCAAATCCAAGCATACGATCAATCCACACAAGCTTATTATGCACACCATCAATACAGTAATCAACAGCAGCACGCCTATTACGGTTACCCTCAGCACCAACAACAAGGAGAACCCACCCCACCTGGGGTTACAGTGCCGCAGCTCGTAACACAACAAGCCACAGAGCAAGCCCAGAATTCTTATTACTACCCACATGCTGTTGCTTTGAATATGGATCCGCAACAAGGAGGAACAAGTGGATATGGAATTGGGGCAATGCCCACTGGGTCCCACCAACCGGTATGAGTTTACTTTGTTTTCTTAGATATAAGATGTTAATTGCATTTTGGGTTTGGTTTTACGTTGGTGGACCTTGAGTTGATGCCTGATAGGTGTTAAATAGTTGTAGTTTTTTAATTTTTTGTTATTTGTTCCTGGATTGATTTATTGTATGTGCTTTCTAGAAATATAACAGCTTACTTTGTCACAATATTATAATTTTCCTGCCAGTGGGCATTTGCACGTCTATTACTTTATCTTGTGCTAATTACTCCTTTAATTTTACAAATTTTATCACTTTGTGCTATTAATTTGATTTGGGTAAATGGAATGACAAATGACTAGATGTGCAGGTAGTCTTAGTAAACGTAGATAGAGGAATCAATTATGGATTAAGTTAGTGGGTTATAGATAAGAAAGAGCCTCCATTGTGGTATTAACGGTTTTGATTATGTAGAAAGGAGACGAGAACTGTATCATAAAATCTGGAGTAAATGGTTCTCAATAAGAATATATATAACTTGGTATGAGAGTATCTGTGGAACTTGTCCTTGATACCTTCGTCTACTAAAGAACGTTAATGCTATGGGTCTAGTAAGTGAATTCTTGTTAATGCTATATATATGGGTGTGGGTGTGCGTGTGCTGTGGTATATTATATTGATTGAAATCGTAATATCTTTTTCATGAGAATGATATGTCGAATAGAACTGCTTGAGCTTGGTATGTGTTCATTTTGTTCTAAGCTTGGTCTCTTGCCTAAGGGAACAGAGCTTGAGTAACTCCGAATTGGCACTTTTCTGCTCAGTTAATTATGCCTTAAATCACACAAGTTTATACTGCTTTATATGAGCTTTGGATAGGAATTTGGTAAGGTTCAAATTGAGAACGTGTTGATTCTATCTTCAAAGCTTCTATGAAACAGCATACCTGAAAAATATCATTAGCTGAGCTGAATAGCCTATCGTTTAGCTGGAAAGGTGAGCTTGAGCCTAAGCTACTAAATAGTTATTGTCTTGGTCCAAACTCAAGCTAGACCCGCTTGCAAAATGCTATAGTGTCTCACCAAATCAAGCTTGGACAGCATATTGAGATTTCTATTGCCTCATTATAGCTGTGCTTAAATCTGTTTTTGTGCTTTGCAGACGTGCTTAGTTACAAGAGTCGGGCCTGGTTGAAGATTTTGCGAGTGAGTGTATGCATTTCTGCTTTCCCTTTTTCCTTTGCGGGCGGTGTTATGCCTGCTCCTTAGCAATAGGTTTCAGCATATTGGGTTGTCTAAGAAGCTCGACACGTACATGGATGACACGCTGACACATGAATTTTCAGAAAATTAGAATGTAGAAACTCTGTGAACACGTTCATTAAATATTGGAAAAATTAAATTATTTTTTAATTACTTTTTTATATCAAAAAGTATTTCTCCCATAGTTTTAATCAAGAATTAATTAATTCAGTTAAAATAACAATTGAAGTCCGGATCCAAAAGCATCCCCCAATTAAGTGAATTTCCGTTTCATGTCCATTTGCCCAAAACAGACCGAAAGCATTCCGGTCCATTTTCTCCATACCAAACCCAACTAACTCAATAGATGAATAATTTGAAATCCATTTGACCTTTCCCACCTCTGCATACATCCACAAAATTTCCAATTTCCCCGAGGCCACCCTCCCTCCCCGTCTTTCCATCTTCCTCGATTTCCCATTTTCTGTCACTCTTTCTCTCACCTATTGACATAGAAAAGTATGGCTCTAGAGCTGTTTCATATTCATGCTTGTTTTAGGCTTTCGAATGGTCAACAATGGTGAATCGTTCATCTCTATCTTCTTCCTTCGTTTGGGCATTTAGATTTTCTCCTTTTGGAAATTTTTGCTTCGCACACCACATGGTTTGTGTGAATATGTCGCATGTGTGCTGGTGTGTCCGATACGTGTCCAACACCGACACTCGCACATTCACAACGTGTCCGTGCTTCTTAGTTGGTTTTGCTATTTCATGAGTAAAAGGAGAGGATAATGTCAACTTGGCCAGTGAACCTCTTAAAGCAGCCACATTGAGGCTAGGATGACTTGTACATCAAAATAGTAGTCGCTTTAGGTCTGTTTGGTAATTGCTTTAGAGTTCAGTTGGCCATGTTGGTATCCAGGCTGTAATACTTTATATCTCCTCAAATAACTTCTTTTGCATTAACACTGTTGATCTGCAGCTCATGAGTAGAGGACATTGAGCTACATCTTTGTTTCTTGGAGCCTAGCTGTATGGCCTCATTAGGTTACATTACATAGTGTTGTTTGCAGTTGAACAGGCACTCAAACTCTCTTCTTATAGATGATCTCTAAGATGAATTTGGTAAGAGCTTTGAAGTAAATTATGTGCTCCCTTTTTTGTTTTTGTTTTTTTTTTTTTTTGGGTGGGGGAGGAGAAGATATTTAGATGGGCATTGAGCCTTATGCGGGTTATTATATTGAGGAGTATCATACCTTCCTTGCTAAGGGAGATGGATGCTTGACAAATTCTTGCTGGAAATTATTAGTGGGTCAATAATTCTGCAATTGGCTGTGAGTTCTGATTAACTGGTTTGGACCAAAAGATTGTAACATGAGTATAGAATGTCTTTGGATATACTATAAGAATTAAAACTGTGCATTTTTTATCAACTAGGAATCTCATCTTTCTCAAAAAGATGGGCTCTTACCTCCTTGCCCATTGAAAAAAGCTATTGATCTGCTTCACAACCTCATATCTCGGAGTTTAATTGATGAAAGGATGTTAACGCAACCAATACATTGATAAAGTGAAAAAATTGCTCATATAAAATTATTTTTCCTTAAAAGGTTGCATGTGGATGCATGCCCTAATAGGAAAAATTGAGAGGATTTTTAAATAAAGATATTAAGCAAATGAACTCTAATTAATTTTTGATGTAGTTGAATTGTTTGTGCAGTCAATATTTGTATAATTGCATTGACATAGCTTTCTTTTGCATTTCATTAGCACATAGTGGATTAAGAATATCCATGGCAAGAAAACCGGTCAAAAGTAGTATTAAGCTCTTAAGAAATTACCCCATAGTCATTAGCCTCGTAATCTGTCATTAGTCGGACTCAATAGTCAGCACCTTCACATGTCTGGTACTCTTCTTAACTCTTAAAAGGGCCAACTAATATATTTATGCTTCCCAGGCATAGATCACAGAATTGAACTTGTCATTCAGTTATTCGTTTCATATGATAAAACAGTGTTTTTCTCCTCTTCTCATCAAGGTTTAAAAAGGCGAAACTAAGTACTGAGTCGGTTTTTCTTTATGAGGCGCGGCGTAAGCCTCGAGGCGTTACGCCTCACAAAAAACAAAAGTCTAAGTAAAAAAATTATAAAATAATACAAAAAAAAAAAAAAAAGTTGGAGCATATAGTAAATAGGTTATATAGCCATTAGCATATTGAGATATAGTCCACCTAAAGAAAGAAAATGTTTAGCAACAAAAAAAAAGCATTACAGAAGTTAGAAATCACTCCATTTGCAATTGAAAAAAAGAAGCAGTTTAAACTAAAAAAAAAGTTTAATAGTCTGCACTATCATCACTATTACTAGTATCGTTAATGAAATCATCATCATATCTAATTTTCTCATCATCTTGGCGCACGTCTCAGATTTAGAGGCGTGAACCTCATATTTTTAGCCTTAAAAATACCGTCTTGAGACATACTACATGCGCTTCACAATGAGGCGCGCTTCACTACCGTCTTTTTAAACCTTGCTTCTTATTACAGATTTAGCCATTTCTTTCCTTTAGGTCTTATCTATTGGTAGAAAGCACATGTTTGGAAACTCTTTATAATTTGATTATAATTGGTTGAACTACTTATCCACGCGGGATCCATAAGTACTACCTACTTATCTAATCACTCATTTTAGCGCCGCTTCGCACCAGCCCGTTCCGAATTTGTTTTCCTGTTATTTAACTGATTAGCATTGCCATCTCATGCTATTAGTTATCGATTTGGTTTTGCACGCTTGCTTGCTTGTTCAGAACAGTTATTTTTTCCGTCTGGGTTGGCCATCGTATTTAGGCATTTACCACACACTATTGATTGTCATGCAGTGTGATAGAAAATTTCTTGTAAGATCTTTCGTGCAAGTCGAGTTATTTACTCTTCTATCTGATTTCACACAATGCTACTGATTTCCTCCAGTACAGAGTACAGTTATGTAATGTGTTCGTACTATCATGTAGCTTTCCAAGCAAAGAT